TTTAAGACAATGTTGTAGGGAATCTGGATTGGAGGTCTGAAGCTACAGAGCACTTCTTAGAGGACAGAGAACAAAATATCAATGCACTTGCTGTGTCCAAGCACCGGAAGTTCAGGCAAGAGTGTCAACGGAAACTGTTGGGAACCTAACATTCCGTCACATGACTCCATGAAGTAGACAGGGCTACTCTGGTGGAGCCTGTCACGAGGCCTTCCACTTCATGGAGTTCACTGTAAATATTTGCTTTAGTTTTTACAACGGGAAAACAGAGGCACACATGTTTGGAAGACAGACACAGTGAGTAATACCTACCTCCTCCCAAGAGTGTTCTAAGGACCCAAGGGCACATGATGAGTGAAAGTGGTCTGTAAACTAAAGAGGTTCAAATAAGGATAACAAACGCTCCAGTTCCCACTGTTCAGGGTGAAGCCAGGGCACAGTCATGGCTATCTCATCCTACCACAGATCTGCTCCAGAGTTATTGTGACCAGGGCCACCTGGATAAGTTGCCAAAGAGCAGGCAGGACTGGGACCAGGGTATGGCTGAGATTCTGTGTACCATCTGAGTAACGGATGATGTGAGTAGCAGCTCCTGGTCCTGGTCCCCACTCCTGCCACTGTCCCAGGAGCAGTGAGATTCTTTTAAATGGCAACGCTAGCTCTTAAGGCTGTCCACCCTTAAAGATCCTCTATCTCCATAAAACAGTCCAAATCTCCTAAAGTACACTTTGGAATCGGTTTGCACATAACCTGCTTGTGAGTACGAAATGTTTTATAAACTCAGTAGCCAGGGCTAGAGAGAAGGCTCAGCAGTTTAAGGACACTTGATGCTCTCACAGGGGACCCAGGTTTGGTTCCCAGCATCCACATGATGACTCACAACCATCCGTAACTCCAGTTCCAGGGCATCTGACACCTTCTTTTGACCCCCTCAGGCAGTAGGCATGCACATGGTGCACATACATATATGCAGGCAAATACTCATACACATAAAAAAAAACTTTAAAAATTATAAAAAAAAAATAATAATAATAAACTCAGAAGGGAAGTGCTCTTTCTTGGGTGGTCAAGGAGTTCACAGGTTGATTCACCTTGCTGTTTCCAGGACAAAGAGATGGTATGTTAACAACATAAAGCCATTTTGCTAGTTTAGTGTTGTATTCCTTCAGTTTATTTCCAAAGAGTGTACTTTACACACACACACACACACAGAGAGAGAGAGAGAGAAATGGCCCGGAGACTAAACTCACTTGCTACACAGCCTTGATGATCTAATTCTCAAAGCTGCCCTCTGATCCACATGTAAGATGCGATACATACACACCTGCATCCACACACACACACACATATATAAACCCACAACACACACATCCTCAAAATCCTCAAAGATCTATCCAAAGAAAAGCTCTTAGGGCCTGCAGACATAGCTCAGTGGCAGAACATTTGCCTACCACATACAAAGACCTAGGCTGAATCTCACGCTATCCAAGAGAGAAGGACACCAGAGTAAGGGGGTCAGAGGTCGTATAGAAATGCTGCTGCCTCCTGTTTAAAGATGGAAAAGGCATAAAAAGAAACCCACATACTCCGCAGACTCATAGGAGTCTCCAACCTGAGCATGCATCAGTCTACTTGGAGAGCCCGACACAACACAGACCAGCTTCTATGGAACAAACCTGAGGTAGCATCCAGGATAGGGCAGTTGCTTCAGGTCTTCGGACCACACAGGATCTGTTGACTGACTCTAGACCATGTGCTACGTAACAGCTGTACTCTAGTTGGCTCCCAGTGTCTTTGCTCTGTGGATGACCATTAGAACTTCACTTCCAGGAACCATTGCACTACTTGCTTATATAAGCTTGTCACGGGCATTTTATTAGTTTCGTTTCAAAACCAAAAAAAATACCTATAAGCCAGGCATTATAGCCTCTGACCTTAATGGGTTCGTAGCCTTATTAAATTGATCCCAATCACAGATGTCCATGCTAAGGTGGTTTTTCCTGGCTGTAAATAGACAATTTCACCTTTTGAGCCTTTTATCATTGTGGGGGAAGCAGATTACTCACAGAAACTTTGCTTAAGCAAAATGGACCAATTAGTCACACATATGCAAAGTAAATAAATGAGTAAACCCTGAGAGGATCTGCCTGGGGCACAAGTGTCTGTTTCCAACCTTAAGACCCAGGTTTCCCTAAGAACTCTTTTAGTTATTGGAGCCAAAGGTCAAGGCAAGCAGCAGACCCAGCCAGGCAAACGTACAAAGTCTGTGGATGTCTTCTCCAAGTCCTCTCAGTCTCTGGGCACTGTTTGGTCGATAACTCTGGAGGTCCTCTGTCAAACCCCTGCGACTCTGCCTGTTCACCAGACACATTCATTCAGAAAAACAGGTGTCCGTTATAATTAGCTGTCTGAAACTGCCAAATAGCTCAGATCCCTACACCAGTTTAAAAGGAAAGTATAAAAAAGGAAAGTATAAAAGAACCACTACTCAGCCATTAACTGATGCTCACAAAATTATAAAGATCACAGGGGCTGAGATAGACAGACCACACACACACACACACACACACACACACACACACACACACACACACACAAATTTTGCATTCTTACCAAGAACCCAGAATAAGAAAGGCCAAACTTTAAACTACCAAAGAAAGACTTGTTGTGATTTTTTTCCTGGTAACGCTTGAAAGCCTGTTTTGTCCCATGTCCTTGGCTGACTGTCGTAGATAATGGCTTTTGTTTGGGGGAACTTAGCTGTTTTTCCTTTTTCTCCTTAGCATTCCTAAGAAGGTTTTTGACATCTCAGTTCATAAAGGACAGTCTGCTTTAAGTTTGACTTACAAACCTTGACCTGGGAAGTCAGAAGGACCCAGGGATGGACTGGAAGTTAATAGTAGGGAAGTTTAATTTACATATTAAAAAGAAAAGTGAAAGGAGGCCATTCTGATTTCATTCCTGGAACCAGTAATTCTGGTGACCTCATTACACCCTATTATGAAATAGGTTGATGTACTTCTTTTTAAAGAAAAAAAAAAAAAAACAGACACTATTTAAAAGAGAAGTTTGGCAACTAGCACACTGGAAGAAAGTTACAATGTCAAAGCCCTGTGCCCAAGTCCCTTGGCCAAACACTGCACACACACACACACACACACACACACACACACACGAACAGTGCTGTGTGCTCCTCACACTAGCTCTCATTTCAAGACACCTGCTGTTGGACAAACCCCGAGTCTCAAAAACAGAAGAGAAGAAATGTCACTTTTCTTCAGGACAGAGATTTTTAACATTACATACCGAAACCTTTAAATACACACAAGCATTGAGAGCACTCCTTACTCGTCTATGAGAAAGAGCAGTGTCAAATTTAACTTGGAGACTAGCTAGTTAATGTCATGCAAGGAGATAGGGCAAGTTTTCTTTTTTTTTTCTTTAGGCGTGCATGGTTTTTAAAATCACTTCTTTAGGGAGTGAGTCCAAGAAAAAGTTGGCAATTCTTTTTTCTTAATTACCAAATTCACAGGTTTCTGACTCTTATTTCCTTCGAGTTTACTCTGTGATCTGCAGACTGAAGAAACTATACAAAATTTAGATTTTATCATTATTTGTGTAAATCCAATAAATAGAAAGAATTTCCATATGCACTTAGGATTTTCTTTGGTATCCCCCTCCCATATCTCCCTGAAGCTGATCTAGACTAAACTTGACCACAGAGCAGGGGATGAATCCACTCAGGGTTACGCTCTTTTACCTTGACAGGACCTGACAGAGAAAATGACTGCTCTGTTGATCATTTTTAAAATTCCTAATGAATATCTTTTTTGTTTGAGACAGCCCATGCTGGCCTCAAACTCATGGCAATGCTCCTGTTTCAGCTTCCTAAGTGGTGGAATTAGCGGTGTGAGCCACCATGGCCAGCTTTCCCTGACCACTGTAAATGAAATGGATACACCCTCTTACTTTAACATTCTTGTAAGAGTGTGAGAGAGGGTAATTTTACAAGTTAAATTTCATATTCTTGCAGCCATTCAAGCAAGTCGATCAGTATGACTCTCTTGATGCTGATACTTTACAGTGAAAACTCTTCAGATTTGTGGGCACCGCCAAGGTTTAAGCGCAATAAAGCCCAAGAAAAACGTAGATGATACACTTATGGCCTGCAGGAACCCTTTTGCCTATGTAGTTCTTCCAGGCTTCAAGGCTGTAAATAAATTTGTCATTCTTTTAATAATGAAACTATTCAACAGTGTCTTCAGCTAACTATAGGCTCCCTTACAACCCCGGTCCCCAATTCCTTTATAGGTCTACAAAGGAAAAGACAAACCACCGTGGCATACTTTCAATCAACAAAGTATTCTTTCAGTACACCACCAACCATTTGGTTCAAGGTCACAAAAACAAGCCCTCCGCCGGCAATAATGCTCTAGAAAGTTCTTACACTCTCCAGGAGCCATTCTCCTCTACCACACAGCCATAGAGATTTCTGAGTAAGGCCTAGCCTCCTCACCAAAGATGCTAAACGCGCTCAGTTGATACACAGTGCTGTTGGGTCCCACGCAGAAATCCCGTGAGCTGGCAAGGCTGTAGCCCACACAGGATTAGGAAGTGCTTTAATCCGAGAAATGGCAGGCAGAGCACCCAATCAGACTTCAGCCAGTCTGAACGGTGGCTCATGGCAATAGCGAGAAGAGTGAGGACAAAGACAGCTAAGTTACTTTCCAGCAAAACTAGAAGACAAAACCCCGAGAACAGCCCACCCCCAAGCACTGCATAATCCAATCACATGTCGCCTGCCTTTAAAAATAGATCACATACATTTGTCTTCCTGGGGTGCTAGGATGCTCAGAAGAGTAATTCTTGAGGGGAAAAGTGGAAAAGGTTGGGCGCCGGGGATTCACTTGCCAACTGAAGCAAACCTTTCCCCCACAGCCCCTTCCCACAGATGACCGGCAGCCTGCAGTTAGCGAGAACAGAGCAACTGCAAAAAGCCATCTGAGAAACATAACAATTTAATAGATGAAATAAATACTCCAGTACATGCAGGGTAAAAACTTGACATTGAGGGGGGAAAAAAATCACTCTATAGTGTAAATTAAAAAATAAAACACACGCTCACAGTAGCTTTCCCCCCCACTTGCAAATCACATGGCAAAGTCATACTCTTATCACACCATGTATACTCTAATTCAACAAAAATAACGACATACAAAAAGGTAGCTACATCCATGTCTAATGAGTGAAAACTGAGGTAACCTTTCTTTTAATTAAAAAGAAGAAAGAAATGAACCCATGACCTTTTTCCTGCCCAATTAGTAACTGAGTTGAGAGGCTGGAGTGTGTAAGGGTAATCCTGCAGCCAGCGGACTACCTACCCATCTCTTGCATCTGAGTCCCTACAGTGGGCTGGTAGACACCTGGGCCCTCTGCGTACATGTTAAGTTGTGTGCATGGCCCTGCGTTCTGGAAAATTCCTCTTGAGCATTTAACATGGAAGAAGGGGGAGGGGGGGTCACCTATGATTTCTTTGGTATAAATGGAGAGGGGAGAAGTAAGTGTCTTCCTTTAGCCTGGGGTGGAAAACGGGGATGGGGGATGGAGTGGGGTGCTAATTCACAGAATTGGAATTCACTGGCGGTAAAGTCCTGGGTGAAGACCTTTCCCTTAAAGCCTGAGATAGCAGGGTGCAGCCTTCAGACACGGCGCAGGCTGAGTTCCTCAGCCTCTCCCTGTGGTCCGACATCTTGGCGCCCCCATCGGGGTGCTGCGCCAGATCCCTGAGGCACTGGGTCAAGAGCACGCAGGCCGACACCACGCTCATGGCGCCACCCAGGATGGCGGTCTGCACCGCCTTGCCTTCGGCGCTCACGGCCGCTGCGCGACCCAGGAATTGAGGCTCAGTGGCGAAGCCCACCAGAGCGCTCACAGCCTGCACCAAGGGCCCGCTGAAGAGCGCGCAGCGGCTGCGGGCCAGCTCGCTGGGCGCCGCCTTCACCTCGCGCACGCATGCCAGCAGCGCCGAGGCGCTGGTGCTCATGCACTTGACGCCCAGCTTGAACTGCTCGCGCGAAAACCGGTCCCGTGACTTGTCACTGGCCAGGGCGCACGCGTCCGTCAGGAACTTGAGGTTGCGAGACAGGCCCTGCGACACCTCCAGCAGCAGCTGTGGGGTCATGTCGGCCAGCGGGGTGGCTCGAAGCACAGCGCAGCCCTGCTCCACCTCGTGGCGGCAGCGTGTCACACGGTAGCGGTCCACAAGGCCCGGCTGTGCGGGTTGAGCGCCCGGCGTGGCCACGGCCGCCAGGTAGGCGGCGTGCGCGGAGCACTCGGTCAGCGACACCACCAGGTCGCCCAGTTCCACGAGACTGTCCCCTGCCTCTCCGAAGCGGCCCATGTTGAGCTGGCTCTGCACGTCGTGGGTGAGGATGGACAGCCCCTTGGTGCGCGCGATGATGGTGTCCCGGCACTGCTCGAAGGACTCGGCGCCAGCGCCAGGGGAGGCGGGGCCTTCGAAGAGCACCGGCCGCGCCTCACTCGACAGCAGCAGTAGGTCGGCCACCAGCTGCATCTTGCCCTTGCAGTGATCACAGATCGACACCAGCCTCTTCCGTGGCTGTGAGCTGGCCCCGCCGACGGCGCTCCCAGGAGCCGGAGAAGCCGCCTCGCCAGTGGGTTTCCCGGCGCTGCCGCTAGCCATCGCGCCCAGGGGGCACTGGCATGCCGCTGGGGAGCCCGCTACCACCGCCGCCGCGACTCAGCTGGCCAGGGCCGCGCTGCCTTCCGCGCACCATCATGCCACCCACCGCGGCGGGCACAGAGATCGGGGTGGCGGCGGCCGGGGGGCCGGGCGTCGCGGGGCGGGCCCAAGCCCGCGCGGCAAGCTCTTCGGGGCGCTGTGCACGCTCGCTGGAACCGTGAGCTGGGGCACGGCAGACTCCTAGTCCGCGCCCCTCGCCACGAGCCTACCAGAAAAGTCCCCGCTGCCGGGCTGTCGCCGCCTTCCTGGGCATGGCCGGCCGGGCCGCCGGAGCGGAGAGGGCGGGACGGGGAGGCTGGGAGTTGTCCTTCCTTCCTTCCTTCCTTTGAAATCAAAATCCTCTGCTCCTGGAGGAGCGCGGGCGGCGGCCCCGGCAGGCTTTGCTGTCAGCCGCGGCGCTGCGGCGATCGGGCTCCGCG